GGCGCAGCGCGACGCGAGGAGCAGATGGCCCAGCGGGCCCCGGGCGGACAATGATAGCAGCGGCCCGAGGTGTCGCCGCCGACTTGGGGCCTGGCATTGTTAGTGGGTACACCACGGGGAGACGTGCCTGCCGTGAATTCGCGATGCCTCCGAGTAGGGAGCCGATTGTGTCTCCACACCCTTGCTCCATCTTTTCCTGAATCTCGCCGGTCCTATTCTGACCGTCCCCGCATGAATCCGAGGGAGGGAGGGAGGGAGGGACGGCGGGGAATTCATTGTTATATAATGCCGTGCAGTAGCCACTGGCCAGCTGATTCCAGGGTGGAACCTAGGGCCGACGCGGACACGAAAGAAGCTTCCAAGCATTCAAGATGTGTTTTAGGGCTGGATTTGAGGGCGCACTTTCGCTCTGGCTGTGTCTTTGGCCCCTGGCACCCTGCTTCCTCTCTGCGCACAGGGACACACCCATACGCAGGAGAGATGTGGGAACAAATGCACCAGGGAGGGGCGTGTGCTCGGATTTTCTAGGATGAGCGAGGCTGTTCTTCAGCCAGGATGGGTACTGGCTTTTTCTGGAAGGCAAAAAACCCCAGACCTCCAAGGGCTGGGCACGGGGGACCCAACATTTTGGGCTCACGGCGCTGGAGGGCGTCTGGGGAGTGGGGGTAGGGAGCAAATTTCCTGCAAGCGAAGATAATTCGCTGTCTTCTTGAATGAACAGGGCGGTTTCGTTTTAACAGGATGGGAAGGGGAAAAAAATTAGGCAAATAATCAACAAGATAGATTTTTAAAATAGCGCCCCCTTCACTCTTGAAAAAAATCTGTTTGCATTATCCTAGGACCTGTACATGATTTCCTTCCCTCCCCCACCATGACCAGCCTCTTATGTAAGAAGACTTCTAGAAGGCCCTGGAGCGAGCGGGACTGGGATATTTCACTTTTTCCTCGGCTTGATGCTGTGTTGGAGATTTTTGGTCCTGAAGTGACTGAGGGGGCAGGTGTCTAATCTCCCATGTTTTGGAAGCTCCGGATGTGGGACAGGAGGAGGGATCACGGCAGGCTTAATCTGTCTCAGCCTCAGTTTCCTGGCAGTAATAAGAATCCTGTTCCAGCTACCTCAGATTTTTTCTGAGCCTGCTATGGCAGGCTCAGAAATTCCCTTCGGGAATTTGTAAAAGTCCTTACATTTACCGTACATAGGTGCAGGAATTGTAGTTCACTTCCATTTGACTTTCCATTGTCAACATCAACATGGAAAACTCTACAGTGTACAGAATTAAAACGACCTGTTCTTCAGTAGGTCAGAGAAACAATAAATAACTTCCTAAACCTAGCTGTGTGTGTATTTGTATGTAAATATGTCTTTCCCCTTGCTGTCTGGTAGCTTATCTAGTTTAAGGATTTTCTACAATTTTCTGTTGAATATAAATAGCACTTGCTGAGAATATTGTTTTGTTACTGAGTGTTCGGGTTTCCATTGTCAAGAGGAACAGTGTCCTTTGAAACACGCTGAGTTTTAAAAGGGCAATATGTGGCTCAACTTCTGAAGCATAAATCCAGTTAGAAATAGTACAGGTGCCTATTTAGGACACGGTGTTCGCATTCCATCTCACCAGGAATACTGTCTTTGAGATAACCCTGAGTCATAGTGTGGCATTTCTGTTTCATTCTTGGCCCTAATTAATATGCAGCTTTTTCTCTTTGTTTTATTTGCACCGATATCATCAGTTAAAATATAAGTGCATCAGTCTACAGTGGCATTAGATTTTAAATTGGCCAGGTCATCTACTTCTTGATAAAACTTCACCCTTTTCTTGATTAGTTAAAAATGGTATTTTTTTCTGTTCCTTCTCAACCGTAATACACTTGCTATGACTAACCCCAAAGATAAATGCAAATACAAAGTGACATATGGCTTTGAAACCTCGTTAGGGTGGAACTAAGTGTATTTGTGTAGCAGATCCCATGACAACAGACTTTTGGTCAATTTTTCCCCACACAGATCTTGCCAAGCTGTGACTTTCCTATGTGTGTGTGTATGTGTTGTTTTTTTTTTTTTAAATGAAGTTGAGCCAGAAGTCATTTAAAAAGTATTATCTTTATCCAAAGTGTTTCCACTGCTCTTCAGTGAGCCCTGGCCCCCTCTTTTGCTTTTGGATCAAAGGTCTGTTAGGAAGAGGTAGTTTGTGGATTCACATGATGAACAGGTTGCTGTGTACAGGTTCACCTCTGTTACCCAACTTTCCCCGTGGGCTCATTTCAGCCGACACTTTCGAGTGGTAAAAATGTGCCCTCGGTTGTTTTGGAACCGTGTTTCTCGTAGGTCCGGTATGCATCGTGACCTTACTGCCTCTTCGTTGCAGAGCGATCGTCTTCTAATCAAGGGTGGTAAAATCGTTAACGATGACCAGTCATTCTATGCAGACATCTACATGGAGGACGGGCTGATCAAGTAAGTGTGACTTCTTACTCGCTGCCATGTGTCCGTGCGACCCAGTGTGCCCGAACCCTAGCTACTGTTCGCAAGTGTCTCTTGGGCTTTCCTGACTCAGAGAGCGGCCAGTTGAGTGCTGTTTTAAGCCCATTTTGATTGGTGGTAATTAATGAATTCTAGATTGAGATTTAGGGAAATCACAGTCAGTTCCTGCACACACATTGCATTATGCATTATGTAATTTACTATTTTTAGCAGAGGTGACACAACATCTTCTTGTTGCCAGCTTGAATACTTGGTTTGTGATACGTTGAATATGTGAAGGGTTTCTCTGGAATGGAGTTCTTTGGGATGGATTGTCCAACCGGAGGAGGCAGACACAGCCTCTCCTATCAAGAAAGCTCATCTGCTTTCTGAATCAGAAGGGGCCTGATTAAGTCCAAGTAGGAGGAACCACAGAAGTATACCGAGTTAATTACTGAGTAACACAGACAAATTACTGCCTAACCCTGGGGGAATTTTAGGTTTCGTTCTTTAAGTGACAACCAGCACAAATAAGGCTGCCCCTGTGTTTATTGTGTATTATGTTATGGGGGGCAGGGCTGTTTTGAGTGTGGACCCTGGGAGCTAAAGGAGCTAAGTGTGTACCAGTGTCCCCATGCCCTTCCTCCTGGGGTTCCTTGCAGGCTCTGGAGAAGCAGCGCATTTGCTTAAGACAAACACTGCAGCCAGCGACCTCTTTGAAATAAGCAGCATTCATCAAGTGCTAGCAGCAGCCGGGAGCAGTGGAAAACTGGAGGGGCAGTGACTGTTGCCTGAAAGCTCACACCCTGATTTATGAACTTAAAATAGGTTTTAACATTTCCACACTTAATGTGTTCTCCATGTGTTTGCTGGTGACGGTCTCAGCCCTGGGTTCTCCAGTGCCGTGACTTTCTTATTCCATTTCCGTGCCCAGTGAGAGACAGCCCGAGCCAATCTGGCCTGGAGGGGCGCGGCGTTTTGCACTGTGTTCATTTGCCCTCCTGTGTCTTAGCACTTTGATCAGTTCCTCTCTGATTAACTTTCATTTCTGAAAAATTGGTAGAAAGATACGGTACAAATACTTGTACAAACTCAGGAATCACTCATGTCCCCCAGTGTGATGAATATTTTATTTTTCTGCTTTTGTTGTCTGAATCGCTGGACACCTGCTTCCACGTTTTGAGATTGTGGCAGTTACCATGTTCACTTTTTTTTCCCTCACCTTGCTCTGTTCACTTTCCACTTCCACCTCCACCCTTTCTGATGTTCCCTGTAGCGGGAAGGATGTGGTGAATTGAAGGTTTAGAACGCGCAGCCCAATTGATGCTGGGTGATTGGCTGAATGGTTTATCTTAATATCTGCGGGCCTGGGTATCAGCCTTGAATGGGGCCTCTGGTGCCTTATGTAAGTTTTGTTTTCTGGTTTACTTGGCATAGCCTCTTATTTGAGGGTGAAGAGTGGGGAACGCTTCTGCGAGGAATCACAACAGTCCATGGCACATAGCAGCTTAGGGAGGGTGGCCGTCCGATCCTGCTGGATTCCACACTTCTATGGCTGCCCTGATCACCACTCTCTTTGCTTAGGCAAATAGGAGAAAACCTGATTGTGCCTGGAGGAGTGAAGACCATCGAGGCTCACTCCAGAATGGTGATCCCCGGAGGGATTGACGTCCACACTCGGTTCCAGATGCCCGACCAGGGAATGACTTCTGCCGATGACTTCTTCCAGGGGACCAAGGCGGCCTTGGCCGGGGGCACCACCATGATCAGTAAGGAGCTTCAGCGCCCTCATTGCGGTGCTAAGGAACTGTGGCATGTGAAAATGAGTCTGCCTTGTTGATGCTGTATTCTAAGGTTGACGTCTGGACAGTGGTTTGACCTACTAAATAAGGGTCTGGGTGGGTAAATAATCTGTCTCATCTCCTTATCCTTATTTCCTGTCCAACTTCGAGTCCTGCAGTTGAACTTGAGAGTACAGTTCTAGGGAATCTTGGCAGGATAAGAAGAATGGCTTCTTATTTTTTCTGCCTGAGGGCTTTTGTCTTCCATGACTCCCAAATGTGATTTGGTTGTGAAGAGAAAGCATTTGGAAGAGGCATCTTCAAAAGCATGAGTTTTGATATTTTGCTCCAAATGTTTGATTTTGATTAAAAAAAAATTCCTAGGTTGGGGATGTAGCTCAGTGCTAGAGTGCTTGCCTAGCATGCACAAAGCCCTGAGTTCAATCCCCAGTATCAGAAAAATAAATCCTAAGTGTGCTTTTCAGAATGGACTTGGGATGTAGTGAGAGAAGTATTGAACCAGGACCCTCCAGTCCGCTGATCCAAGCACACTTTCCAGCTGGGTGGGATGTGAACTCGTGCAGCTGTGCTTGGAGCTAAACCCGCTGCTGTTCATCCTTTGGCTGTGAAAAGTGATGGCTCCCACAGCTGGGTGCCCTTCATAGATTGCTTCCTGTGCAGTCAAATCGGAAGTGCAGGCTCTGAACCCAGTGCGGGAGTTTAGAGCTTATTGTGAATGCTCAGCTTCCAGAACTTTTTGCAAAGGTCCTTCTGGATTTGAGGAGAGGGACATGTTGCCCGGTGGCCCACCAGAGACACGCTTTAGAAAATAGATTTTATCCAAGAATGAAAGTCAGCATACCACTTGTCGTTTGTGAAAAGCTAACGGCAGGGTTCAGGATAGGGTCAGGCAGAGTAGGAAGATCTTGGCTGTGTCTGCCTTCAGGAAGCCTGTCCTTCTGGGCGTCTTTCAGCCACGGTTGTCTTCCCTGGGCTCAGGGCTGTCGAGAAGCATCTTCCCTGTGTTATCTGAGTTGGAGGAGCCTTGCCTGCTGTCCCCTCCAGTCGGAGTTCTCTGCTCACCCCTGTGCTGGTCTTCAGTGTCTGACACACGGGAACAACTTCCTCTGTCTGGTTTACGCTTCCTCCTGACCGCCTCCAAGTACAGCTTCCCTACTTCTGCCTCGCTGCAGGCCTTGCTCCTAGCCCTCATGGGTGCTTTTCTCAGGGCCCGGTATGCACCCTGGGGGCTGGGGCTGGGGCACTGGTGGCTCAGGAGTGGGGATTTGCCTCCTGCCTCTGGGCGGCAGCTGAGGTATCCTAAGCTGGGAGAAGCACAGATGAGGTAGTGTCAGACTGGAAGGCCTCACTTCTGAGTTCAGATGGACGCCCTGAGGACCCTGGCATTGGTCAGAGGGTCAGGAAGCCATATGCGGTATTTCCTGAGTGAGGGGTTGGTGACGTCTGTCTGTGGAGGAATTGCCCCGTGGGAGCCCTTGGGGAGGAAGCCACTTGCTGTGTGACCTTGGACAGGTCACCTTCTCAGTCTCGGCAGCTCACCTGCACCAGGAATGCCCACCCAGCTCCCCATGGGTGATGTACCAAGTACAGAGGCAGGTTTGGCCCCTTAATCCAGTGCACCTGGATTACTGGCAGGCACTGAAGGGCCTGTGCCTTGGGAGGCCCCGTGAGCCCGTTTTCCCCTCCCAGGGATTCCTGCTTGTGCCCCTTTACTCTTTGCACTTGACCCGAGCTTCCACTGCTGGCACAGCTTCTTCCCATGCCTGCCTTGGGCCCCTCTGTGCAGGGATGAGGGGCGTCCAGGGAGCCCGGAATAGGAGCAGATGCCCCTGTGGGCAGAGCCTCAGGACAGGGAGCCAGCAGTCCGCCCCGTCCTGCCTGCTGAGGCAGTGTGCGATGGCATTTGGTGCGTCTCTGTGATGCAGTCCGCTAGGCTGGAGAGGAGGGGATTCATCGGGCAAACGGGGAGAACAGAAGTAAGCAGGGGTGGCGGTGTGCGCTCAGAGTCGCCATGCTTTGCACACCGTCCCTATCCTGGCCTGTGGGAACCACTAACTTCTCTTGCAAATAAAAAAGCTTTCCTGGAGGCAGGAGCAGTCATGAGACAGATGAGGAAAGTCGGGACTTTCTTCTGTCTTCTGCACGCTTGCAGTACCTTCTGCTTTGCTGCAAGTGAGTGAGGGGCTGGGACTTGTGCCGACAAGGGGGCCCTGCCTAGGGAAGAATTTAATGCAACTTCCATACGACCTGCCTGTGACAAGACCAGGATTTTAAAAAAATGCATATTGAAGCCAGGGAGAAATGCTTAGGGTGTTTTGAACAGACTCAGGTTCACATCCAATGTACTCCTGCCGAAATAAGCCCTTGACGTAAATTGGTGTGGAGACCACGTGTTCTCTTTTCCGGTTGTCGCCTGTACCAGCAGAGGCATCCTCAGCTGGGATCTTCCTGGCTGTGTGTCTCCCAGGGCCAGGGGCTCCATTTCTACCTGCGGGGGAGAATGCAGCTGAGAAAAGATGACACATTCGTGGTAGAAAATAATGTTATCACCACCGGACAGAGCCTGTCCCCGAATGCTGCACAGTGGGGCATTGTGGGGCAGCCGGAGCAGGGCAGGGGCCGGGCTTTGCCCTTTCCTCGTGGGGATGGTGAGCAGAGCCTCCAGGTGAAGCCCGCAGGTGCCATCTGGAGGTGGTGGAGATGGTGTTTGGGGAAAAGATGATGGGCCTTAGGATCGCAGAGTGCCCAGGAAGCGGGGGAGCAGTGACGTCCCTTTTGCCAAGGAGAAGCCTGAGGTCAGAGGTGAGGGCAGTCCTTGCTGACACTTACCTTGTGTGCCAGGGGAGGTGACAGTCACGGGACACACCTGCAGCCCCAGTGTGCTGTCTCTGGCTGTGCCACCTTCATCCTGGTGCCGCAGCTGTGGAAGGAGAAAGGTTGTCACCAAGGCCAACTGTGGCTGCTCTGGCATGGTCCCTGCCCCGTGGGGAGCATGCAGGCATGGTAGTCCCCGTCTGTCCCTCTTGTGTGGAGTGCCTTCTCTTTGTGTGACATTCTGGTGCTCTCTTTTTCCCACTGAGCCAGAGGAAAGCGGCCCCGACGGCCTGACCTGGGTGTTCACTGAAACTGGGTCCTCCAGGCCCGCGAAGTGTCCTGGTGTCACTTGGAATGTGTCACACATGCTGGGCAACCTATTGCAGCAGAGGATGTGCTGGGGGGACTGTGAATCTGTATTTTAACCTGATGCTTGTCCGAGACACTTGCAAAGCTGTTGTCGGCACTTGGTGAGTTCTGGGAATTTGAGGATAGACTTACTTTTGCTTATTTTACCCCTTTGATTCTCTTTGGTGTCTAAGTTGAAGTCTTGCCTGTCCTTTTAAGTTGTAGCTGAGGGAACATAGATGTCTGGTGCTTGACATCTATGTTCCAGAGCAATTTTGAATATTGACTGAGCTAGATCTCAGTCTGGCTAGACTGAGCTAGATCTGTGATAAGATGAAGACTATGAAAAAAAGATGAGTTCTGCACTCATCCCTGTGGGAGTGGGTCCTAGGACCACGCCTCTCCTGCCAGGACACCAAAATCTGAGGATGTTCTGGTCCCTGAGGATGGATCCTTGTAATAATCTCTAGATCACTTACAATCTCAGTGTAGTGTGCATCACTGGTGTACTGTATGAGTGACTGTAATAGTGACAGAAAAAACCTGCACATGTTGGTAAAGAAACAAGGTTTTGTAAAACTATTTTGGATCCATGTTTAGTTGTACTGCAGGTCCAGAGGCCATCTGTACAGCTCTCTGGAGACCCCCAAGTCCAGGAGCCACGCTCTGAGGGCTGTTTCTGCCATCCTGAGCTCTAGGCTTCCCCTGAGGTGGCTCCTTGTAGCCGAGGTGAGATTTGATCTTCAGAATTGGCCCCTGCTCCTGAGTTCTAGACTTGTTGCTTCTCTAGGTGCAGCTCCCTGGTTGTGCTTCAGATATATTCATCCTGCTATGAGATGTGATCAGGATTATGGCAAATGATGAAATAAAAATGTAAAAAAATTGATTATAGTAAAAGAAGAGCATTGCTATTAATGCCCTTTAAAATACTCCTTTTGGCTTTGAACATACTTAGTCCATCATTTTTGCCACTTCTGAAGCCCTCCTGAGAGTTGTCCTTTGAGAGCATCTTTTCACAGTTGCTTTAGTGTCCTGAATTGATTCAAAGTGGGTTTTTTTTTTTGTTTGTTTGTTTTTTGAGACAGGTTCTCACTATGTAGTTCAGACTGCTCTGGAATTCACTGTGTAGCCCAGGCTGGTCTCGAACTCACAGTGATCCTTCTGCCTCAGCCTCCCGAGTGCTGGGATTACAGGCGTGTGTCACCACGCCTGGCCGATTCAAAGTGTTTATGGCAGTTTCTGCTATCATCTTATGCAGCGCATCTGGCACTGTGCCACACTTGGCTCTTCCCCAAAGTCAAAATGACCTTGAAAGGTGAACATTTTGAATCCATTCAGGGCATCAAGAACAGTGCAACTCAAGACACTCATGAAAGAGGGCTTCAGAGCTGTTGCAGAAAGTGTAGGAACGACGGGATGAGTGTGTTAGAAGGAAGGGGGTATTCTACAGGGATTGGCAGCAGTGATACGTTTAAGAATGTTTTGTAGATTTGCTGTATATATTTTGAGCATACCTGTGTGCCCAGGCAGACGCCCAGTGGTCTGCTGCTGGTGTGGTCCTGGCTCAAACCTCAGAGCCCCTTGACCCCGGCCTCACCAAATGGGTTTCTTCTCTGTGTTGCCTCTTGTACCTGTTCCTTCGCACCCTGCATCTCTGCCCTTGGCTGGCTCTTACTGGAGTCCAGCTGCAGCTCTTGTGGCGTGCACATTCTCCATGTACCTGTGCCCACGCCACCTCCTTCCTCTAAAGCCTTCAGTGGCTCCCTCTTCCCTGGAGAATGCAGCCCAGTGTCAGCTCTGCACAG